ATCGAATACTCTCGGTAGCTTGCCGGGCTCTCCGAGAGGGGCGGAGGAATCGAACTCGGGTCAGCCATGTTGGCCGCTTGTAAGGCAAACGCCCTACCGCTGTGCTGGGGGCTGGAGCGATAAGTTGGGAAGAGTGGTAAGTTGGGAATATTACTGCTGGGTAAATGTGGGTGGAGAGATGTCAGAAATCTCTTGGATTGACCTTATTTGAGAAACCAGGGTCTGAGAATGTGCTCTGTGAATTATATTTAAACATTAAATTTCTTTCAACCATCTGAGTCATTCTTCAAGGGACAATGTCTCTCTTTTCATTTTTCTAATTTACCTCTTTGGTTTGGTTAGAGCCCCACGGAGAAACCCATGATGGGAAACAGGTATAGTACCCCCACAAACAAGAGGACAATGTGTAAATTGTGAATGACAAACACAAGGCACACACAGGAATAAAGTGACACACTGCAGAGAGGCAGGAGATGGAGAGGAAGTTACTGTGGAACAGCAGCACAAATGCGCCTCATGGCCAAGCCCAAGACCCCAACAGTCAGTCTTCAAGATTTGCTTCTGAAGACAGCTTTCCAAATATCTCTGGGCTTCCTCCTTTAAAACCAACCTTTGTATTGATTTGAGTAGAAATATTTCCCACATGACCCACACATCCTTGGGTTTGAAACTCAGTCTCTGATACATTAGCATTAAAGCTGTGTGGAGAAACACGGGACTCAAACAAGTTTGAACTCAACCTCAACCTCAAACTGAAACTCAAGGTGTTGCAGGTGACTTATAGTGAAGTTTGAGGAGGGGGATTTAGCAGCCTCAAGGAGGGAGTCTACTGCTACCCTCTCCCTACCTCAGTCACCCAGAAAGCCTGGGGAAATCAAGAGCTGATAAAAATCTGTGATGAGTCCCTGCATGGTGCAGACCTCAAGCTCAGCAGCACCACGAGCTGTACTTGAAGTCCACTTGTTACGAATGGCACGGGAGATGATCCCCACCACTGGCCTCTCAATGAGCCATGGACTCAAATTTGAATGAGGAATTGCTCTTTGCGGGAAAGAAAAGTGCATAAACCATACTCACGCTTCTCAGGTCCATTGCCTGGCCCATACAGAAAAGGACTTTGGGAGCAGTCAAACAGTGAAGTAAAGCAGCTTATATTTAGAGTGTATGATGAGAGAGAGAGAGAGAGAGAGAGAGAGAGAGAGAGAGAGAGAGAGAGAGAGAGAGAGAGAGAGAGTGAACTTCTCCAGAAGTGGAGAAAGCCTTGAAAGGCTTTGAGGACTGGCTTATATATGGATATTCTTCAAGTTGGTCTGGAGTTTTCTGTGGATATGAAAGTTGATCAGGGTTTTGACATAAAGGAAGAACTTTGAACTTTCAGCGGTCCTCCTTCCTGTACTTATCACAACTCTTTGTTCCAGCTGGAGCCTCTTCTCTCCAGAGGGGCTTCATCCTTCCCTCCCTGTGCCAAGTTAGAGCCTTATCCGAGTCAGTTTCTGTGTCCACAAAGTGGGTCTGGCAATAGTGCTTCTAGCTTCTCGAGGGCTAGTGACAGATACCTCCTTCAAATTCCATCTTGGTTTTATTACATCCCAAGAACTTACTGCCAGCCCGCCACCCACCCACCCACCTCCCCAAATACCCACCTACTTCAGAGATCTGCTATTACAAATAGCACTTCTTTAAAAAAAAAAAACTTTCGATGTTTTGTTTTGGATATTTTCAAAACTTTGTTTTGAAATTGCAAGTTAAATTTAATAAATATTCCTAAGCCGAGACCTGCAAAAGCTGGCCTGTTTTTATGACCCATAAGAAATACTTTCTCAGAAAGAGCAAAAGGGAATGCCCTGCCACAGAGGTGGGGCGGGGTGGGGGAAAATGGGGTGGGGGGTGGTAGGGCTACTGGGATCATTGGTGGTGGAGAATGGTGGAGGGATGGGTACTTGATCATTGTATAACTGAAATCCAAGCATAAAAGTTTGTAAGTTTACAACTGTACCTCATGGTGTTTCACTAATAAGAATTTTTTAAATAAATAAAGGTGGTATGTCTCAAGACAAAGTTCCATCAGGCTATTTCCCATAAGAAAGGATTCAAGTTTGTGAAACTCAGTGTTTCTCCATATAATGTGTATGATAAGCACTGAATTCTTGGGTGCCATCAGATTCCCTTCTTTCATCCTAAGGGCACAAGGCCTCAGGTCTAAAACATGCTGTCTTCTTGCTATAATAAGCTTCCTTAACCTATGACCTGGATTATCTGCTATCAGCTTCAATAAAATTATGGCATGCACTCTTTTGCAAACCACAACACCCAAAAGGAGAGAGAGAACAAAAGGGATTGCCCTGCCACAGAGGCAGGATGGGATAGAGGGTATGGGGGGTGGGAGGGATACTGGGATCCGTGGTGGCGGGAAATGGGCACTGGTGGAGGGATGGGTATTTGATCATTGTATAATTGAAACTCAAGCACAAAAATTTGTAAGTCTACAACTGTACCTCATGGTGTCTCACTGATAAAAATTTAAAAAAAAAATTATGGCAAGCAAAAATAAAAAAAAAGAAAAGAAAAGAAAAAGAAAGAAATGCTTTCCCATTTGTAAATGTTTGAAAAAAGAAACTCACAAAAATACTATTTCATAACACAGGAAAACGCTGTGACAGTCAATGAAGCCACTCCTCGGTGCACTGTCTATTCCTCCATGGCAGAGATCCCAGCTAGCTCACAAGCCCCAAGATATTTGGCCTTCTAGAGGGAAAGAATGTTGATGTGTGGCCTGGAGTCATCACTATTAATATTTTGTCCCATTGTTTTCTCTCTGGCCGAAACATTTACTTTAACCTGACACCTTTCCACTCTGTGCTGCCTTAGGGTTTTGTTTTTGTTTTGTTTTTTGGTCACACCCAATGGCACTCAGGGCTTACTCCTGGCACTGTGCTCAGGGATCACTCCTGGCCAGGCTCAGGCACCATATGGGATATCAGGTTCAAATTAATGTCGGTCACATGCAAGGCAAGCACCCTACTGACTGTTTTCTTAAATCCAAGGCTGACAGGGTCAGATTCAGATGCAAGGAAGTGCTTACCACAAGGACAGAATTTGGAAGTGACCCAATAACAATGGCATTTTCCACAGAGATGGGAGCTGGGACTCTTCACTTGAAAATTCTGAGCCTTGGCCTCTCCTGAAACTCTGCTTCCTGCAGTCTGGACAGCAGTTTTTCCTCAGAAACTGTTTCTTACCAGAGGAGAGAAAAAGCCTCAGAGGGATCTCATTTTTTCCATAGTTTGTGGCTTGGCTGACTCAACCCTGCCTTTCCTTGAGTCACAAGTTTTTCCCCTTTTGGAGGAGGATAGTCCCCACCCAGCCTTTCCACCCACAGCTGGCCCCTGCTGGGGGCGGCTGACTGCAGAATGAGGAGTCTGGGGCTTTCTGGACACAGGCTTCTGTTGGAGTTGCTTCTTGGATGAATGATTCTTTGTCTTTGGGATTTATTTACAAACAGCTCCTTGACTATTGCAATAGTTGCAAGAAAATAAGGACCCAAAAATTTGTAGCGAGACAATTGTGCAATTATAGATACAAACTTGGATCTATATGTTGCATTTGTATATACCGCATTCATATTTATACACGTACATAACTTTATGTCATGTCAATTATATCTCAAAGAAAATTCTTATGTTTTTTTTTTTCTTTTTGGTTCACACCCAGTGATGCTCAGGGGTTACTCCTGGCTCTGCACTCAGGAGTTACTCCTGGCAGTGCTCAGGAGATCGTATGGGATACTGGGAATCGAACCCGGGTGCAAGGCAAACGCCCTACTTACCGGTCCACCCCCCCACCCCCATTCTTGTTTTTACCAAAGATCACGCAAAGAAAAAAGGAAATAAAGAAAAAAAAGAAGGAAGGAAGGAAGGAAGGAAGGAAGGAAGGAAGGAAGGAAGGGTGGGTGGGAAGGAGGGAAGGAGGGAGGGAGGGAGGGAGGGAGGGAAGGAGGGAGGGAGGAAAGAAGGAGTGTTAAACTTTCCACAAACCCAGCATTACTTGGTGATTCAAGAGGCACATCTGAGTGGCTGCCTAGTTATCTCAGTTGGGAGAGCAGGAGTTTGGGTGAGTGAGACAAGGAAGGAGGCGAGTGAGACGAACTGTGGGCAGGTGTGAATGAAGCAAGTGCAAAGGCCCAGAGGTGGAAGAACTGTGTAGTAGTGAAGAACAGGAAGAAGTCAATGCGAGATAAAGTGCTGCGTGAAATCCAAGTGAGGCTAAGTCAGTCCTCGGAGCTGTGAGACCCTAGGATTCCATCTGCGTAACAGAAGATGGGAATGGATGAAGAGGGGAGGGCATGCCTAACTTGTTGATCATGTTGGGACTCTGTGCTGGGTACATGGAACTCTTAAATTGTCTTTTTTTTTTTTCTTTCTGCCTACGTTGGAAAGCTTTTACTGTAAAAACTTTAACATACGAGGTACCTAGAATGCTGACTTTTAAAGTGCTAATTATTAATATTACTGATGAGAGAGGGGGACCGTGAGAGCTAGCAGCAGGCAGGGTCGCCAGAGGGAGCTGAAGGCACAGACTGCAATGTCAAGGACCCCCGTCCCGATTATGCCCTGGTCCCCGCCCGATTATCCCCTGCGCCCCGCCCCGCCCCCTCCCTCCCCCCACCCCGCCCCCTCCCTCCCTCCCCTCCTCCCGGATTATTCCCTTGGCCCGCATCCCCGCCCTCGGGTCCCGTTCAGCCTGGGTCCAGGAAGCCGTCTCCAGCAGAGTGACCGCGGCCTGGGTGCAGGCCGAGGCCGGGGTGCTAGCGTGAGTCAAGGGGCGTCCTTAGGGGCGGGGCAGCGCTCCCTGCACCCCGGCTCTAAACTTCGGCCGCGCCGCCCGCGCGCGTCGCTGGCGCAGCCGGACTCCGGAGTTGGCGGCCAGGCTCCGCCCGGTTGGCCGAGTGGCCGCGAGGGCGTGTCCCGGCTGGCGGGGGCAGCGGCGGGGTGGGAGCGGCGCCGTGCTCCGGCCTGGGCCGACGCCGTCCAGATCCCCGCGGCCGGCCAGGGGCGCGGACTCTGCAGCACGGGACGCGGACGCCGGCCCCGAGCAGCGGCGGGGCCCAGCGCATCTGCGTTGACCCGAGCGTTGCAGCGATCTTCGCGGCTCTGCTGGAGCTCGGGACAGAGGAGAGCAAGGCGCTCTTGGGGCTCCGGTAAGAACACGTAAGGCGCTGTTGGGGCTCCCCGGGGGTGCGCCCCAGGCCTGCCCCAAGCACTGCAGCTACCTACTAACTTGTGTTCCGGGCCTGACCCCGGTCTTGGGGCCTCCTTGGGACCCTCCCCGGGCTGCAAGCTCCGGAGTGCTGGGCTGGCTGGGGCAACTCTTCCCACCCGGGGGAGAGGGAGAGGGAGGGTGGCCGGGCTTCCCAGCTGGGCCTTCTCTGAGCTCGCCCTCGCAGAAGACACCTGGTGACCCGTTCGTGAGAGTTGGACAAGCGAGCGGGGCCAGGCCGGGTGTGCTCTACATCTGGCACTGCCCAGAAAGAACTACTGGAATCTCCTTCCCTTTAGGTCTTCCTATGTGGGGAGGGGGAACGGGGGGGGGGGGTGCGGGGAGAGGGAGCGGAGAACAAAGAAAACCTCTTTGGGTTTTCACCCCTCTTCTCGGGAGGCAGGTGTCGTCAGCCTCCTTTGCAGGTGCGGGCAGAGCTTCCTGGTCACTGAAACTTGATCTCCTGATCTCTGCAGCCCAAAGAAATTCTTAAGCACTGAGGCAGCACTGTGCTCCAGCGGGCCCAGTAAAGTCTCCATCATGAGACCTGTTGTTACTGTGTTTGGCATATCAAATACGTCTCGAGTAGCTTGCCAGGCTTGGCAGAGCGGTCGAGATACTCTGGTAGGTTGCCTGGCTCTCCAAGAGGGGCGGAGGAATTAAACTGACCAGGGTTGGCCAGGTTGGCCACGTGCAAGGCAAACGCCCTACCCGCTGTGCTATCAGTGAATCTCATAAAATTCTTCGGAATTAAAAAAAAATGACCTGTTGTCTCTGGGGAAGAAGGTCAGAGGCCTAGGGAGGGGAGGATCCTCCGTGGGGTCACTCTTGGCTGTACTTTCCATGACTTGCTGGGTGTTCCTGGACATATAATGTATACTGGAGTCTGTGCCATCTGAAAGATGACTTCAGCCAGAGCGCCAGGGTAGCCAAGACCAGGTAATTGGAGTCTTTCCATCTCTGGTCAGTAAGTTTCAGGGGCTCATAGTTATTTTGGAGCAGGACTGGGATCTTGGCAGTGACTTTGATGATTGGGGAATTAGCCTAATGCAATGTTTGAGGATTAAAAGAAATATTTTTTTTTAGCAATATGCTTTCCTTTGAGCCTGGTGACTTTCCACATTGCTATGTTTTTCGTGGAAGAAAGCCTTCCAGGAAATAGAGGCCTGGACGAGGCATCAGGGTAGCTCTGTGGAAGTAGATGACAATGGATTGTGGAGAAGAATTCCAATCCTTTTAGCCTGGAGCCTCTGAGACTGTCCCTGCAGCACCTTGCACCTTGCTTCGTTTACTTTTCTGTGTGTTCTCTGAGCTCAGTTCTAAAGCTGTCCCAGGACCAGACTGTGACTGATCCTCACAGTGACAAAGTGTGTATGTGTGTGTGTGGGGGGGGGGGGGAGGGGGTGCTTCCTCAACCAGGCTTTTGTGACCTGGCACTTACCCTTTATGTTCATGGAACTTAATCTTCACAATCAGAAATTATCTTATTGATGACTTTCCAGCTTGGCTGTCCAGCAGTAGGGCTGTCTGTGATAGGGCCAGGCCAGTAGGGCCTGGCTCCCTGCTCTAACTTGGTGCTGGGCACAGGGTAAGATTTGGTTAAATCCTTGGAATGTGAGGTCAGGAGGACATGGAATCAGATGTCCTGTGTTGGGGATGGCTGGAAGGAAGGCCAGAGGATAAATCAGCCCTGTCCACTCGGGGCTAGACGCAAGGGTCACAATCCTGACTCGTTCCCTGAGTTTGGCGAGGTGCTTTTTCTTCCAACTAGTCTCTGAAACCCCGTGCCAGGCTTCGTCCTACCGTGCTTGGCACCACAGGTTTCAGGAACATGGGCATCCCCTGCATTAGCAGCCCGGCAACAAGGGCAAGGAGGGGCTGTCAGTCACAGATCAGCATGCAAGTCCTTTATAGAGAGCCCTGAGAAATATGAGACTGTAGGTCCATCCCCTCCTCTCTGGTAACAGTGTCACTGCCCACTGCACTTCCCTACCCTAGACCCTGCCCATGTCCTCCATGCCACCTAATGAGGACCTGACCTAGCTGGCCTCTCCAAATGCCACAGGCAGATGGGGTCAGCTGCCTCTCTCTCTCTCTCTCTCTCTCTCTCTCTCTCTCTCTCTCTCTCTCTCTCGCTCTCTCTCTCTCTCTCTCCTGTGATCAACTGTGATAGGCCTGGTGTTTCAAGTTCTGTGAGGTTGTTTGAGACATGGGTGTGCCTCAGCTTCTGGTAGGCCCAGAGGAGTAACCCCATGACCTCATCCACGTGTGCCCTGCAGGCTGGCATCCCCTGCTGTTGAGGTTCAGAATTTTGCACCCAGGCACTATCCTTTTGAAGATCTTCAATTAGAAGAAGAGAAAGAAAAGAAAGCTCATGTTCCTGCTACCTAGAATTGATTGGTACTAAGATTAGATGACATTTTTCTGTCTCCTTTTCTAAGTAGAAAGAAAGGTGAAACCATACTTGTTCTCTCCATTCTGGGTTACATCTAGCTCCCAATCCCCACCCCTGGACACATTTTCCTGATTTTGTTTATATTGTGACAACTGTTACTGTGTTTGGCATATTGAATACGTCACGGGTAGCTTGCCAGGCTTTGCAGTGCGGGCGAGATTCTCTTGGTAGCTTGACGGGCTCTCCGAGAGGGGAAGAGGAATCAAACTCGGGTCGGCAGTGTTGGCCGCTTACAAGGCAAACACCTTACCCGCTGTGCTATCGCTCTAGCCTACACCATTTTTTTTAAATGTTCTTAACCATTTTCAAGTTTCTTGTGTTAAAAGTATTTTCATTGTTGTGAAACAAGTTTTTATAATTCTTTTCATCTTATAAAACTGAAATCCTATATGCAATAAATAACAAGTCTCCGTTCCCCACCCCCCGGCTTCTGATAACCACCATGCTTTACTTCCTGTTTCTTTGAATTTAGTTCCTATAGGTCCCGGTATACATGGAGTTCTACTCCTTTGACCATTTTGTGATTGGTTTACTTCCTTGAGTATTGCATCCTCCAGGTTCACCTACTGGAGCATGCGTTGCTTACTTGGGATCACCTTCCTTCCTCAGGCTACACCACACCGAGCATGTGGGGTTGCATTCTGCTTCTCAATCTGCAGTCACAGGCATGTAGGATCACCTTCCTTCCTCAGGCTACACCACACCGAGCATGTGGGGTTGCATTCTGCTTCTCAATCTGCAGTCACAGGCATGTAGCTGCTCAGATGAATAATGTGGTTATGAACATGGGGGTGCAAATCCCTCTTCAAGAGCCTCTTTTAGCTTCTTTTAGATGTTTACCTAATTAATTGTAGGACTGCTGGATTATGTGGAACTTCTATTTTTAATATTTTCAGAAACTTCTGAACTCTTCCATGGCAGAGGCAATACATTCAACATTCCTGCACATAGAGCACAGAATCCCAATTTCTCCACATTCACCAACTCTGTTATTGCTTTATATTTTTTCTTTTTTTTTTTCAGTAATGTAGTAGTACTGCTATTTGTTCAGCCATTGATTAAGCTGATTGAATTGGGCATGAACTCCACATTACTCTTTTTTTTTTAACTGTATCACCGTGTGAGAGTTACAAACCTTTCATGTTTGAGATTCAGTCATACAATGATGGAACATCCATCCCTCCACCAGTGCACATTTTCCACCACCAATGTCCCCAGTATCCTTCCCCCATATACCCCCCACATCCCAGTTCTCACCCTGCTTCTATGGCAGACAATTTCCCCAATACTCTCTCTCTAATTTGGGGCATTATGTTTCGCTCGAATTTTCCCACCGCCATTTAAGCCTACCTGTCAGGGGCAGATGCTAGATAATTTATTTTCCATTGCTCATTTTGAATATCATGAGAGCTTGCACAGCCACGATTGTAAATGTAAATTTCTAGATTGTAAATGGTTGGGTTCCAGAAACATCTCTGTACGGCACTAATCCATTGTGGGATTCAATTGGAGTCTCTGGGCCAGGGCTATTGGTGCTCTAAGATGGCACCCAGGGGCAAATTGTGGGTGTGACAGCCAGTCTGCTGGGCGGGCAGGGACCTGGGGAGGGAAAGTCCTGGTCCTCTGTCGCCATGCAGCCTGGAGATTAGTCCTGGAACCCGCATACCTGGGTCTTGCTTGTGGAAGCTCTTGGTCACCGAGATTCCATCTGGAGTAAGCAGGAAGAGCGCACCTCCTCCATCTGGGTGCCCCCGTGAAATTGGCTCAGTATGGGACCTGGAGAGATCTCTGGTGCTGTGGTGTCTTCCGGGAATGCTGCTGTGTCTCTGGGCCAAGGATGTTGGTGCGCTAAGATCCACCTTACAAAATTTTCAGCAGGTTATATCTTGGTGAGGTCCATCTTGAGATGGTGGAGCCAGGCTAGGGGTATGGTAGCGATTTTGGATTGTGAAAGCATGTGGCTGCCGAGGGCTCTGCTTAGGTGGGCACAGGCCAACCTGCCCCCCTCCAATTTACCCCGGTCTGTTCAGCCATGCATGGGTCCGAGCTTAACTGCAGCTTTTGATCTCTTTTGAGATTTATTTAGGGGTCTCTGAAGCAAGGCCGGCAGTAGACCTTACAGAGTGATGCTGGAGTTGGTTCGTGGGAGTGACTTCCAGTGCTTTCATGTGTATTGGGAAGTGGGGGGAGGTAACCCACCTCAACTCTGAAAAAGCCTTGAGATTTCAGTCGCAAAAAACACATACCAGAATTTTCAGCAGATTATATCTTGGTGAAGTCCATCCTGAGACCGTGGAGTCAGGCTGGGGATATGGCAGCAATTTTGGATTGTGGAAGCAAGTGGCTGCAGGGGGCTCTGCTTGGGCAGGCCACCAGGACAACCCACCCTCCTCCGATCACCTCTGTCTGTTCAGCCATGCTCGGGTCCAAGATTAACTGTGGCTTTTGATCTCTTTCAAGATTTATCTATGAGTCTCTGAAATAAGGCCAATAAAGGACCTTGTATAGCTGAGATGAAGGTGGTTTGTGGGTATGACTCCCACGTACCTACCCACATACATTGACTGTTTAATTTCTTAGTAAACTTGGTCCCGAGTTGTTGGGGTCTGGCCATAGGCACAGTGGCAGTTTTGGAGTATCAGCAAGCCTGAAGGCACCATTAGGCTGCTGATGCACTTGCCCCATAGGTACAGGTTGACCTACTGAAGACACCATACCCCCTATATTTTTTCTTAAGAGCTGTCCTCAGAAGTGAGGTCCATTCTACCTATTATTATTCATAGGTATAATCTTGAACACTTTGGGGATGTATTATTTCTAGAATCATGGCATCGCATTCTGCCTATCATTTCGTAGGTTGCTTTGGCTCAGTTAACATTTAATGTCTGTTGTCACTCCATGTTGACTCATGTAGATCAGACCGTCTTCCACTGTGTGAGTAGAACCTGGGCTTTGCCCTTTTCCCTATCTCTGGTCTTCTCTGGGTCTCTGCTACAGAGAACACCTCAGCTTTCCTTTTAGGGCACTCTGAGTTCCTCCTCATTGATCTCTCATCTGACCCATCCCAAGCCTCCAAACTTAGCCGAGGATAGCTCTGGAATGTTGCCGGATGATTCATATCAGGGACCAGTGATTAGTGGGCAGAGGACCTCAGACTGACACTGATCAGACACTTAAGTTTGCAGCATACAGCCAAGATCAACCTCAAGATAGCAGTTCTGATGAGGTGACGTGGGCAGCATTTCTAAGTACACCTTGTGGTCTTGAGAGGACCAGTGGTATGTGACTTGGGGACAAGCACTCCTGTTGTGCTATGTATCCAGTCTCTATGCTGGGACTTTCTCTGGCATCCCACGGGGAATCCAACATGTTGAACTGCGTGTGACCCAGGGTGACCTAGAAACAGTGCAGGATGAGCTTGACCCAGCCCAACAACAACAAATGCTGTTGATGGGGTAGCTTCCACTTGCTTCCTCCTCAGTAGTCACTATCACTGGTACTGTCCTCCCGTTGTTCACTGATTTGCCCAAACAGGACCAGTAACATCTCCATTGTGAGACTTGTTGTTACTGTGTTTGGCATATCAAATATGTCACGGGTAGCTTGCCAGGCTTTGCCGTGCGGGCAAGATATTCTTGGTAGCTTCCCGGGCTCTCAGAGAGGGGTGGAAGAATCGAACCAGGGTCAGCCGGGTACAAGGCAAATGCCCTACTTGCTGTGCTATCGCTCCAGCCCAAGATAGCCTGTGCTATCTTCCTCCTCAGAAGTAAGAACTGAAAAAAAAAAGAAGTAAGAACCGAATCATGTTTTGCACCATATTGGGCCCTGATTGGAGAGTTTGCGAAGGTTCATTGATTCACTAACCTCTTAAAAAATATCCACTAGGTGCTTGGCAGTGCTCAAGTGCTGGGTACATAGCACTGGACAAGAAAAGTTTTCTCTTTCTAAGAGCCTAGAATTAAGTCTGGAAAATAGCAATTATTTGAGCCAACGATGGAGAGACAATAACATATCATGGAAATAAGATATAAATAAATAATATCACAGCGAGGGGTGGGGAGTCAATAAACTCCTGGAAAGAACAGTTAGAAAACATGTAGGCTTTGTGGCCCCATGGTGACATTACCACTACTGAGCTCTGCCTTTACAGTGTGAAAACAGCCAGACTGCTGTAAATGAGAGTGGTATGTTCCAATAAAACTTTCACTGTATCACTGTATCACTGTCATCCTGTTGTTCATGTATTTACTCGAGGGGGCACCAGTAATGTCTCCATTCGTCCCAGCCCTGAGATTTTATCAGCCTCTCCTTACTCGTCTTTCCCAATGCTGCCATATTTGAGGCTCTTTCAGGTTAAGGGTAATGAGACCTATTAATGTTACTGTTTTTGGCATATCGAATATGCCATGGGTAGCTTGCCAGGTTCTGCTGGTTTATTGGCATTATTTCTCACCTGCCAATAAAACTTTATTCACAAAAAAAAACAGGCTGAGGGCCATCTCTGACCCTTAGGCCACGGACTGCAGCATGACCTGGCTGCAGGGAAATGTTGCCTGAGCTGGAACTCTGAGTGGTGCCTTCTGTCTCCAGGACCCTGGGCTTCCCACTTAATATCAGGGCCTCAATGTCCCTCCTATCCAGGCAGGAGTCTGCCTCCTAGGTTTGTATGAGGACTTGAGAGATGTTCTCTCTAGAGAAAGGATGCAGCCCGTGATGGCAGCCAGAGATGCCTGGGCCAACAGGCTGAGTCAGTGGTAACAGGGTCTGTAACTGTTTGGCTTGGTGGCTAAGGAGTCGGTGATGGGGTAGAGTCACATTCCACCCTTCCACCCGGTGCATGTCCAAAGTTCTGGCTATGTAATGCCTTGGGAGCATCTAGTGGAAGTTGAAGTTCAGCACTTCAACTTTTCTGCTCCTTGGCCCCTAGTACCACTCAGCCACGTTCCAGCCGTGCTCCAAAGTCCCCTGGGGTATGGCTCTGCTGCCCAGAGTTCTGGCCTGTTCTCTCTCACAACTTTGCTGCTAAAGTTAGGGGAGTCAGCTTCCACCACCAGCCCCTCCCCCCCCCCCCCCCCCAGTTCCAATCCCAGGGGTCAAGTTTCTTAGGTGGGTGGGCCCACTGGGTGCAGAGGGATATTGCCTGGGCTGACTGGCTCAGGGAGTCTGCAGGTTGGGGGTGTGGTCAGCATGGTCCTCACCCGCAGCCTGTGACAGCTAAAACCTTATTGCCGTTCCTCCCGCAGCCCATCCCCAGGGAAGATGGACTATCTGGCAAACACGGAGATCAACAGCCAGCGCATTGCCGCAGTCGAGAACTGCTTTGGGGCATCAGGGCAGCCACTGGCCCTGCCCGGCCGCGTGCTCCTGGGCGAGGGCGTGCTGACCAAGGAGTGCCGCAAGAAGGCCAAGCCTCGAATCTTCTTCCTCTTCAATGACATCTTAGTGTACGGCAGCATCGTGCTTAACAAACGCAAGTACCGCAGCCAGCACATCATCCCCCTGGAGGAGGTGACGCTGGAGCTGCTGCCTGAGACCCTGCAAGCCAAGAACCGCTGGATGATCAAGACGGCCAAGAAGTCCTTCGTGGTGTCGGCCGCCTCCACCACAGAGCGCCAGGAGTGGATCAGCCACATCGAGGAGTGCGTGCGGCGGCAGCTGCTGGCCACGGGCCGCCCACCCAGCACGGAACACGCAGCGCCCTGGATCCCCGACAAGGCCACGGACATCTGCATGCGCTGCACGCAGACGCGCTTCTCCACCATCACCCGGCGCCACCACTGCCGCAAGTGTGGCTTTGTGGTCTGTGCCGAGTGCTCCCGGGAGCGCTTCCTCCTGCCGCGCCTCTCCCCCAAGCCTCTGCGCGTCTGCAGCCTCTGCTACCGGGAATTGGCCACCCAGAAACAGATGGAGGAGGATGAGGAGGAGGATCGAGGCATGGGTTCCCCTGGGCAGCTGACCCACCTGGCTGGGGCTGTCTGCACAGCATCCAGTGGGGATGATGATGACTCAGATGAAGACAAGGAGGGAGTTGGGGATGGCGACTGGGCTGGCCAAGTGAAGTTCTATGGGTCAGACATCTCCTGGTCATCCTTTCACAGCTGACCCGGGCCTGCTGACAGGAGGGCAGTGCATCCTGGTGCTTGCGCCAAGTTCGTGCACCCATCCCCCCAGCCTCCTCCCCTGAGGGTGGCAGACTCTATAGAAGTGACTTTCCCTCTGGACTGGCCCCGTGCCTTTTTGCTAGATGTTGACATCCTCCTAGATCCTCTTCCTACTCCGCAAACCCCAGGACCCCCAGGCACCTTGGAAACAGATGCAACTTCTCATCCCCACAAGCTCTGTCCCTGGCTAGCCTTTGAATGAGCAAACCCCAGGGGGCAGAAGGAGATGGGACTAGAGTGAGTTCCCCACTGCTCTGAGACGCCAGCGCATGTCAGAGAGGACTGGGAATGCTGGAAGGCCTGCCCACCTCATCATTGGTACCCACCTGCCTGGTGGTGCAGGACACATGAGCTCCCCAGGGCCAGGCAAGAGACTGCTATAATGTGTTGCCCTCGAGGCCCCAACTGCAGCCTTACCCACAGCCCAGGTGCCCTGCCCAGGCCTCTGGCTGCACCTTCCCTCCATTCGGGTATGTACTACCCCTCATTCCCTCCTTTCTCTCACCCAGTGACTGGCAAAAGTAGTGGCTTCTGTTAGGACTCTTCATTGCATGTGACAGAAATCTGCCCAGATTAATGAAATAAAAAATGTACCGACTCAGATGGTCTAAGATTATTCCTCACTGGCTTCACTGAAGGCTGGAACCACACTAGGTGGCGAATGTCCATGCCAAGTGTTCCTGGGAATGTGGCAGCACATGGGGACAGACACTCTTGCCATACCTTGGCAGATGCCCTGAGGACACAGCCTTGTGTCAGTCCTGTGGCACTAGTCCTGGGGCGATAGATCTGCAGCCCTATCCCCTGCCATAAGGGGCCGGGGGCGGGGGGGAGTTCTCTGAATGAACAGATAGTGAGCAAGGGAAACCTGGAGCCCTTATTTCCTCAGTCTGGGCTTTCCAGGAATACCCATCTCCCAGGCAGCCTGCCTAGGGGGTGATGCTGTTGCCAAATGGTCCAGGGTCAGCCACTGGCCTTGCTCCGAGCAAGTGTGCTGGACTAGCACAGTCATGTCTTTCCTAATGCCTGGATGCTGAGTTGAAGGTTATTAAGACAGCATCCTGCAGAACTGTCCATGCTAGTTGTTTCCCAGTTATCCAGTTGGCCTGGAGCAGAGTCCACTGCGGCTTAGAGGAGGGTTACTGTCAGCTGGAAGTAGTGACTTTAGTTAGGGAAGCTGCCCAAACCAGCACAGTGCTGAAAGCCCTCCATGACTTGATCCATGGCTGGTGAATTGTCCTCAAGCCTCATCTATTTTTTTTTTTCCTTTTGGATCACACCTGGCAATGCTCAGGCCTTACTCTTGGTTTTGCACTCAGGAATTACTCCTGGAGGTGCTCAGGGGACCATATGGAATGCCAGGGATTGAACCCAGATTGGCCGCATGCAAGGCAAACACCCTCCCTGCTGTACTATAGCTCCGCCAACCCTCAAGCCAGATCTTAAGCATTCACACAAGCAGAGCCCCATGGACTCCTCTGGGCCCTCTGGGCAGCGGGTGACCTGCTTCCAGGGCTGAAGCACCAAGCATGGTGACAAGTACCACCCCGAAGGGAGGGCAGAGTATAGTCCAAGGTGCAGAGGACCAGGTGGAGTGGGTCAAAGGTGCTTCCAGAAATGATTTACAAGCCCATCACCTGCTGAGCCACATCAACTAGTCCCGGTCAGGGTGAGGGTCAGTGTTCAAGACTGAATAGACAGTTTCTCAGACACCAGACTAGGCTGCCCTGTCCCTTGACCACAGCACTGGGCCTGGGACAGGGAGCAAGCAGTTCAGACAGACTTCTTGGCTGCTGGCCCTGGCCCTGGTGCCTGCCTTGCCTGGAAACGCCCCAGTAATAAAGTGTGAAAAGCACCAGAGGATCTTCACCCGGATGGCAGAGGATGGCCCGCAGCTCAGCACAGCCCACCAGCCTCTCCACAACTGGTTGCAACAATGCCAAGGGCACAAGAGTGGGCAGCGGGGCAGTCTGACTAATGGTCATGCCTTTCTTACCAGGGCTGGACTCTCATCCCAGCCCAGACCTGCTCACCTTCCATCATGCACTCCCACCCCAGTCTGCTGCTTCTGAACCTCAGGGGGTTGGAATTAAAGGGACCCAAGAGTTCAGATGCCAACCACCTTTGGAGCCCCTCATTCCTGCACTCACCCATGCTGCCCAGGGGCTGGGACTCAGCTGTGACACAAAGTCCCTGGTCTCCAGGAGCAGGGGGGGGAGGGGAGGGAGAAGAGGGAGGGGCAGACAAGCAAGGAGAGGGGCCTTAGTGAAGGGACAGAGACTGAGACCTGACTGGGAGGTGGGGGAGGTGAGGGCAAGAGGAGCTTAACATGAGCTAAGAGTGAGCGACCCACTCAGGAGATGCCATCAGCAGCAGTGTGTGCCAAGGCCCTGAAGAAGGGGCTGTGTGCCTGGCTGTTGCAGTGACTGAGCTCTCCCAAGGGGCGTGCTAGGCTCATTGGTGGCCCCTTTACAACCATCCACATGGTGGGCAGGAGCTGGCAGTCTCAGTTTCATCCTCTTGCTCGAGTCTTCACCAGCTTGATTGTCTTCACCGGCTCTAAAGGGCCGTCCCCTCCCCAGATGGACGGCAGCAGATGCCAGGAAGCAAAACCTTCTGAGCCTGACCTCGGTGACGCTGAGTGTGGACCAGGTCCCCAGCCACCAGCATGAGGCTGCCCTGGAGCATACCCCTAGCGGGCAGAGAGGAAGGTATTGGGGAGAATCGGGCGCTCCTGGACTGGAAGGTGGAAGCTGCTGCCTCAGGAAATCTCATTTCTGACTGGTTGGCAACCTCATCAGCCTGGCATGGGCCAAAGATCAGACACCGTCTCCCCCACCAGGACATCCTCAGAAGGGGCTTTGCTTTTTCTTTTAATATTATTATTATTTTAATTTTTATTAGTGAGACACCATGAGGTACAGTTGTAGACTTACAAATTTTTGTGCTTGGGTTTCGATTATACAATGATCAAATACCCATCCCTCTACCAGTGCCCATTTTTCACCAACATGGACCCCAGTATCCCTCCCACCCCCATCCCTCCCATCCCACCCTGCCTCTGTAGCAGGGCATTCCCTTTTGTTCTCTCTCTCCTTTTGGGTGTTGTGGTCTGCAAAAGAGGCATTGAGTGGCAATCATGTTCGGTTCATAGTCTACTTTCAACATGCATCTCCCATCCTGGGAGGATCCTCCAAACACCCTTTATTTGGTGCTCTCTTCTCTATCTGAGCTGGGGCTTTGCTTTGGGGAAGACTGCCCTCCGGTCTCACCTCCCTCCCCAGCAGTGCTCTGGAGCCAACCTTGGTCAAGGCCTTGCTGTTGGCCACCACACTGCCCCATGCCTGGAGTTCTTAGGAGAGCCAGTGTTCTTTCCTCAGAAAGAAGCTGAGGCCTGCCCGGCTGCAGGACTTGGTCAGTTGGGTCTGTGTCCGGGCCCCACACTCCTCCCTGGGCAAGGACACAGGGACCAAATCTCCTGCCAGCCCTGCCCATCCACTGTTGGTGAATCTTTCTCCCCCTTGTCCACGCCTAATTCTTGGATGAGCTTCTGGCCCCTGGGAGAGGTCCTGCTCTGGGAGATGCAGATGCAAGGGGAGATCTGAGGACCAAGCAACCATGTTCGAGGTTTTTTGCTGCTGACAGGGTAGTATCTGCTGTTTCGTGAAACCCATCTCTGTGTTCCCCCGGGAGGTGAGCCACTATGGGCAAGGCGTTCTGAGGTGTAGAGCAGATGCCTAAGCCCTGGAAGAGCAGACAAAGCCAATGAATGGACAGCTGTGATCAGGGGGGACTTTCTGGAGGAGGCAGTATTTATTCTACCTCAGAGGTGGGTAGGGCCTTATCAAAGATATGGGTAGACTACACAAAGTTTAGGTTGTTGGGGTTTTGTTTAAATTTACCATTCCTTCCTGTTCCTTACCCTAAATATTTAGTGACTGAATGAGTCTAAGACAGATGGTATATAATGAAAGAGCTAGAGAGTCTCACCCGTGGAACCTCTAGTCAAGGCTCTGACCAGAGCCCATGAACCTGGCCTCTGTCTGGTGGGGGCAGGGCCCAGCCCTAGACACTGGCTGTTGCTCTCACAGGTGTCTTCACCCAGGCAGAGCTTTCTGGACTGATGATATCAGTCGTTTTTACAGGGCAGGGGGTGTGGGGTGGATATCATCCAGGTGGCTTCAGAGTGTTTCTTCCACCTGGCCTCTCCCCTGCCCTAGCTGTTCTCTAGGGCGAAAAGGGCCACAGGGCAATTGGGGCCCCCACACCAGGCAGGGAGGGCAAGACTGCAAGACTGACCCAGTTCTCAGCCAGGATCTGTTGTCTCAGGTCACACTTGCAAACCCAGGCAGCCACTTCCGCTGGACTGTCTCTGAACCGCACGCAAGCAGGAAGTGACCCTCCCAGGGGCTGTGAGTAGGGCAGGGGCCGCCTCTGCATCCAGGGCTTTGCACACTGGGTTCCAGCAGGTTCTGGGCAGCTGAAGCCACTTCCTCAGTGAGTGCCAGCCAGCCCCCTTCTTTATCTGAGGATAGGGGATAGTGGTGAGGGGCATGGAAAGGGCTCATACTCTTCATGTGTGTCCTGAAAAAGATGTTGGGGGACCTGTCATCTAGCCCCCAAACTGCTTGCCAGGCACTGCCCAGAGGACAAACACAGGCTGTTGTGGGGGAGAGGGCTCCACTCACTCACAAAGCCAAACACAACAAACAGATGTTTGCTCTTTTTGGGCTCCTTGCTGACAGTGGCTTCCATCATTCTCCCACTGCTACTTTAGTCCTTCCTGTGGATGCCAGATCATATGTCATCTCCACCCTGAAGTCTTCCTGGGTTTCCCCCCAAGCATAGCTATCCTCTCTGTGCTCCCAGGGCACCCTGAGACCCTGGTTTCAGCTCCACCATGCCCGAGTGGGTCTGTGCCCGTGGGAGCTGTTGGAGGGAGAGAGCAGTGGAGGCATCCTTCATCTGCAGCCTCCACAGGCCTCAGTCCAGAGCCCCACATAAATAGCCATTCTGCAGATGCTTCTCTCTGAAGAAAACCAGGGGGCATTTGCAAGATGCTGGAGTGATGGGGGCAGAGGAAGTCCCTGTGTCCAAAACTGACCCTGTCATCTATCCCCAAACTGCTTGCCTTGCCTCTTCAGCACCTATGTAGGCTGTCAAGCCTGGCACAGGATCTCCTGGCCTCTGCCCAGCACCCTCTGGGCCACCATAGCTTAAAATGAACGTGACTGGTGCGTTGAGGTCGAAACCAGCATTCCCAGAGCCCCTGGGAGGAGTTTGAACACAGCCTTTTGGTTCTTCGTGGGCTACTCGCTGATGGTGCTCACTACTATTCTCCTGGAGGGTGCCAGGCTGTTGTGTGCCCTGGAAGGGAGGGCGCCTTGTCCCTCTGCAGGTTAGGGCCAGGCCTGAGTGCCAGTGAACATGGACACAGACTCCCTTCGGCCACCCCTCCAGGGAGAGCTGGGCTGAGGGCTTGCCTCCTCCCCTCAGGCTGGCTTTTCTATCACTCCAGAAGGAAGAACAGGAGGATGCATTCAGGAAAGGAGGGGGAAATTCCCATCAGGACTCTCCGTCCACTGCTTCACTATCTGCATG